GAAGAAACCTGCAATGGTCACAATTTGCCCAGGAAGATAGATACTTTAATTTCACTTTAATTGAAAATGTCTTCTTTTTCCCATTGAAAAGTGTTTCAACAGAAAATGTCCAATCATCCATAATGTGTAAGGCACATTTGATTTCAGTGATATTTATCAGAGTGATATTACAAGGGAAAGGGGATCCATACACATTGTACAGAACATGTAAGCACTCAAACATACACCCACACGCTGGGCCACATCTTTAGCCCCCAGCAGAATGTAGAGGAAAAGGGTTTTCTCGCTTTGCTTCATAACTTGGGATGTTGACAGACCTGGTCGGGGGGCCATGTTATCTTTCCAGAGATGTGAGTTGGAGCCCCCTACAAAACTTTAGCAGAAGGTCTCTCCCAGTCAACAGAGATGTAATTGTGTACTTGCTCCTGTGGACCAGAGGGAGAAAGCATAGCTGGGTGTGATGTCAGCTACATCACCTCCAATGAGGTGCTTAGCTCATTTGGGAGATGTCTGACTTGCTAAATTAGTGTCTCTAATACAGTGCTTTGTTTTGGTAAGAAGTTTGAGGAAAATAACTTTGAGAAATAGTGCTACAGTGTAGCAAGATGTTGATATTTTTGCTCAGACCAATAATTGCCAATAGAGAGAACAGTTACATGTCCCTCCCCAAGTGTTCACAGATGAGAATGAAAATGTCTACAACATGCTCACAACATAACCATACAAGCATATGCACAAACATGTGGAATTCATACACATTCTTCCCAAAGGGTTTATATTTTACTCTCCCCCAAAAGGCCAACATCAAATTCGACATCATGCCTCCTATAATACATTTGATTTGAGCGAGCATTAAACTGCAAGCAGACTAAGAATTGCATTGACTAGGAGAGTACATGACTTTACGTGGTAGGGCAATGTAAACTCCTCTGCTGCTGTTATTGCTATTTGCTATTCCTGTTATATAGCCACTTCCATGGGGACATTTTATTGGGATAATACTTTCCTGTTAATAAGTTTTTTGAATGCTGCTTTAACATCCTTGTTCCTCAAGCTGTAGATTAGGGGGTTCAGCATGGGAATTACCACAGTATAGAACACTGAGGCCCATTTGTCTTGGTCCAGGGAGTAGCTGGATGTTGGTCTCAGATACATAAACATAACTGTCCCATAGAAAAGCGTCACTCCTATCAGGTGGGAGGCACAGGTGGAGAAGGCTTTTTTCCTCCCTGCGGCAGAGCGGATTCTCAAGATGGAGTCAAAGATGAACAAGTAGGAAATAAGGATGATGAGGATGGTGCTGAATTCAATGAAACCACAGAGACTGAAGAGCAGGATCTCACTGACATAGGTGTCAGAGCAGGAGAGAGCCAGGAGGGGCGGGATCTCACAGAAGAAATGGTTGATGATATTAGAACCACAGTAGCTCAAGCTGAATGTGAGGCTAGTGTGGGCCGCCAAGCTGACTAGGCCAGCCAGGTAGGAGCCAGCAACAAGCACCCCACAGACCCGTTTTGACATGAGTGTGGCATAGTGGAGGGGGCGGCAGATGGCCACATAGCGATCATAGGCCATGGAAGCCAGGACGTAGCACTCAGCATCTACAAAGCCCACAAAAAATGCGAACTGTGTGGCACAGCCAGCAAAGGAGATGACCTTGTGCTGGTGTAGGAAGTCAGACAGCATCCGGGGGGCGATGGCAGTCGAGTAGCCTAGGTCCACCAGGGAGAGGTGGCTGAGGAAGAAATACATGGGTGTGTGGAGCTGCGAGTCAAAGATGATCAGGAAGATCATGCCCAGGTTCCCCAACAGGTTTATCAGGTAGATCACCAGGAAGACCACAAAAAGAACCAGCTGCAGCTGTGGATCATCTGTGAAGCCCAGGAAAACAAACTCTGACACTGATGTATGGTTTCCTTTGGCCATCCTCCTCTCCTGCCTGGTGAAGTAGAAGGTAAGCTGTGCAGCTTGAATAACAGGAATGCAAAGCAGAAATCTCCACACTGTGGGACACTACTTGGAGCTGCTGGCAGGACGAGAGGAATCTTTGCTTTGGGAAGGCTCACTGAAGCACGACAGCCAAACAGACAGTGTTCAGTTCCTTACCAGTGACTTGTGCTTCTTCTCTGAACCTCACTGACATGCCCCTTTGCAAAAAGATGTCCAGGAAAAGTAGTGTTTCAGGAACAGTTCCTCTCTCAGTAAAAGGTAACACAGAGGTTCGTTCCTTCAGCTGAATATGGGGACTTTGGTCCTAGGTAAGGAAGGTAAAAAAACCGTGGCAGTGAAACTGTCTAGTGAGTCATCAAAGCCAAAAATCAAAGGTGCCTGACAGTGAAGCTAAAGGAGTAGCTTTAAATGGCTGATATCCATTGTAGGCTGTTTGTTACCCTTCATGTGGTCAAACCACTAAAGAAAGGTAGTCTCTCTCACACATACATATGCACATAATATTTATGTAGAAACTAAGAGATTAGCTGTTTTTGTAGGTATAAAAAACTACATTACTGAATACTCTGAAAATAAGCATTTCAGATTTATAAATAAATAACCTAAATAACCTAACCCCCTAAAAAATATTTCAGACTTTGGTGGCACTTTGCATATTTACACATTAGAAAATATGTTTTTTCACCACTTCTCTGTTGGAAATTGATGATTAGGCAACACTTACTCTGGCTTCAGGTGGTTTCAGGTGACTCAGTGGTTGTGCCTCACATTCCCTTCTCTACTTCTGGAATGCAGAAACAGGAATTTAATGACAGCAAAGAATCCATTGCTGTGAGGTCAAAGCTGACTCCTCAACTCACCTGTTTCTGTGACAGGAGTCCACCCTGGCTTCACTGCACTGACACCTGCTTTCATCTACTCCAGCATCTCAGTAAGGACAATGACCCCTTAACAAGCCTACACCAATGTTCAATATCTTAGTGGGGCATTTCCTCCCAATATTTTGGCTTATCATGTCCTCATATCTCTTAAAGTGTAAATAAGTACCAGGCTGTGATCTCATCCCCTAAGCCAGAGCTTGGCAACCTATGGCCTGTGAGCTGGATGTGGATCACAGAACCTTTGGATCCCGATCATGGAGCTGTGGCTCTGGCAGCATTCATCAGTAGGGGGTTCTCCTTGGTCTTCACCACACCTCAGTTGAGAGCCCAGGGCTTTGCTGGAGATGAAGATTTGCTCACACTGGCTGCAGTTTGGTGGAATGGGCATTTGCCACACTGTGCTTCAGCTGGGTGGAAGAGAGAAGTGGTGGTGGTGAATATTGCCTAACCCTCGCTGATCTGAGCTGACCCTCTTCAGCCTCCTGTCAGAGGACATTGCCGACCCCTGCCTAAGACACCTCTCTCTCTTTCTCTAGGTCCTTTCCTTTTGTGTGTCCTTGTGACAAGGTATTTCCAATAATTTGCAGGTCTGTTAGAATCCATGAGCGCTTCTGCCATGGCCTTCTCTCTAGGTGATAGAGGCCAGATCCATAGCTGATATTATTTTAAATTACTTACACTATTATACACCTGTTAAGAGCTCAGCCTTTAATTTCAGATGTCACCTTCTGACAACTTCTGTAAAGTATCATGGTTCACAGAGTTATCCTTGTTTGCCTCTTCTGTAGCTTTTTCATCTCCTATCCATAAATTGCAGTACAAAGTCTGCAATCATTTGGAATATTATCTAAATTGGAGGTAAGCAAAAATGCTTATTTCTGATATGATACTTTTCCCAGAGCCTGACAAAGGGACTTCGATCCTGAAAGCTTGCAGAAAAGGACAATTTTCTTGTCATTTCCCAGTTCGTCTAATAAAAGGTATCACTTTGGAACCAAGAGTTCTAGTTTTTTGTATGTCTTATTCTGATATGGCTTTCATGTAAAAAATGCTGAAGTCTGTACATGCCTGTGAAATGTTTCACTTCTAACAAAACTACATAATCCTTTTTTATATCTCAGAATTTTGCCTTATGGATACATATTTTTGCAACTCAAGATGATCCAGAGACAAGCGTACTTTCCCTGCTCAGTACTGGATCAACCTGAGCTCTGAGGAAACTCAGTTCTCAGCTTTGTGTCAGATCCCAGTTTTACTCAAAAAATGGTTCTGATTTTAATTTTTTCATCACATCCTAGATTTTACCCAATTTCAGCTCTTGAACTAAGCTCTGCTGCTCTCATCTGGCATTCCTTGAGACTACTTCTTACCTGGAGATCATGGTATGAATGATTGCTCCCTCCTCCTCATCTGTCAGATGTTTTTAGCACTACACAGCCTATGCCGTGTTGTCTCTGTTTAGTTGTTCAAAGGGATAGTATTTATTTAGCTTGGAACCCCAACTTGGAGGATGATGTAATACTTGTAGCACTTGTGTACAGTACAGGATCACCAGAGAATCACATTCCCAAAGGACTTCTAAGCTGTAAATCTCAGATGTTTGGAGAAGCATCCATGAAAACATATTACCTCATTTATAGATTGCAAATTAGCACTAATGAAACTTTGCAGCCCTACAGGGTCTCTGGACTCCAGAATTCTCCCCCAGAACAGTTATAGGTACAGGATGAATTAATTTACACAAATATTCCCTTTCTCAAATGATGTGTGTCTGCCACTTCTACTCTCCAGGACCCACATCTAAAGATGAAGCTGGAGACTGCTATTCATTTCATAAATCCACATGCAATTACCAGTCCTCTCATTTATTCAGCTACTGCTAATCTAAGACTTGACTGAAATATAAATATACTGATCTCCTTTAGCTCCATGTACCACAGTTTCAGCTCCTGTAAATTGTTCAAGCTCTAATGATTTCAGTTGCTGTATACCAACTTGCCTTAGGAAGGGATCAGCACCATTGCATTCAATTACATTTTTCTCAAATGATTGCACTTTGAGCTGAGTGAAATTTTCTTGCAGACTAGTATACCTGGCTTTAATGTGCGAATGCACCAAACTTGAGCTAGGCTAGCACTAGCTCTTACCAACATTTGAGCTGCTCATGAAAAGTGCAACATGAAACAAGGCCCTGAGTGTAATCTTTATTCATCCTATCAGCCAGGGGTTCAGGATGACTGACAGCAGAAGCAGTGCAGAATTAAAGGCAAGTACAGAGTACAGTAAAACCTGTATTACCCAGCATGAATGGAGTAAGAAGGGTTCTGGCTATCAAAAAATACTGGTTATCAGAATTAATGCAGGGGTGGCAGCACTGGGTGGTGGATGGCGGTGGCAGCCACCACTGCGTGCAAACTCCTGCCTCCTCCTCCATGTCTGGCCGGCTTGGCGATCCCTGTGCAACCTGCAGAGGGGAGCTGCTGCCTTCCGACCCTGTCCCACCCCCACAAGATGTGCACATCAGATAGTAGAGTATTCCATTTAGTAAAAGGTCAGTTAACACAGCTTTTACTGAATGTTTCTATTTTATTCTTTTTATACATTATTAGATAAATGGTTTACATCAAGCATACATCCATCACACCTTACCATTTGCTGATTAATGCTCTCCATAATTACATTTCCACATACTTTTCTATGTGCTTTCTGTCAGGTTTTGGTTCTACTATTTTGCAAAGTTTCCTCTTGATTCATCCCATTTGGTGCCATGAACATTTACTATTTATTGAATAATAAACATATTTAGTTACAGCTACACATCTACTGTTTCAGGTTTGCTCATGCCATCCTACATGCTTTCCTATCTACTACAGTCATTAATTCTATTTTTATCCATCTCAAAATGTTCTGGAATAAATCCCAAATGTTCTGTTGCACTGTGTTGTATTCCTTAGAATGATGTACCTCTTTTAATACCTACCACCTCTGATTAAGGATTTCAGGCACTCACGTCAATTGTTTTCCATCCTTCTCCAAGCAATCACATCTGTTCTTACTACAGTGAAATGCAACCTGAGGCTCTGCTGAGATAAGAGGAGGAGAAAGAGGAGTTGGAAGTGGACCAGGGACCCTCCCAGGAGCCAAGCAAGTTTTTGTGGTGATCTCCAGTCCACAATGGCTCCTCAGCTCTTACAGGCCATTCAAGGCATCCAGACCCTATTGTTTTGCCTCCCTCCCAAGTTCCCAGGGGCCCAGCAGCACCCTAACATGTACTACACCCACCTCCCAGGAGCCCAGCATGACTACCAAGCCTGTCCCATCTGGCTCCCAGGTGTCTGCCTCACAGCTCCTTCTTCCCCTTCCCTTTTCCCAGAGCTCACTACCTCCACAGCCACCCATCCACCAAGGAGTGTTGGTGCTCTAGAGGCCAGCACCAACTTCAACCGATGTTCCCTTAAAGCTCATTTGATTCAAACAACTCAACTCCCCCCATTCCTGAGAAATTCCCCCATGAACAAGCCCTACCTCCCTAGATCCCTCCACAACTGCATCTTCTGCTCCACTGGCCTCCCCCAGGTGTCTCAGGTCTACGCCCTCCACCCAGCCAACCATGCCTCAACCCTCAACCTCCACACAATCATCCACCCTGGCATTATTAAGCAAAGGGGCGGCTGCTGAACAATAGGTAGGGGCAATAAAGGTGGATGAAAGAGCAGGCTGCAGCTCAGAAGAGTGTCAGGTGATGCTAGTCTTCAGCCTTAAAGAACAATTTCTAACTCAGTTTGTTCCTAGACCCCCCACTCAGAATGATGTCTTGGTTTCCTCACTCATCATGTCTCCAGATTTCTCTTGCTCCTCCTGACCCTAGTTGGCACCTTAATCCCTGAGTGGCCAAAGACGTGGTTGCCCAAGACCCACTTGTAACAAGCAGGCACCAGCAGTAGAGTGAATTCACTCCAAAGAAAGGCACCTGGCGGCAGGACAGTACTCCAAACGATGGAGGGAAACTCTGCAATAATCAAGGACATGAAGAATAGAACAGAGGAAAGAAAATGATGGAAAGAGCTCAGAGAATGAAGATCTTATTAAGGGGTTTCCCTGCTTATTCTAGCTCCTGGTATGCTGGAGGAGCTGGGGTGGACCTAGAGGAAGGGAGATGCTCTGTTTGGCAGCTGGAGCATTTCCCTGGATGACTTAACCTCCAGTTGCTCTGGCACATGCTCCTGAAGTGTGCACCATGCCCCTTTTTTTTGCCAAAGGTTTTTGTTGTTGTTGTTGATGCTGGAAGTTCCCAGTGTCAAGAAAACGGAGACAAAAAAGAAAGAAGAAAAAAAAATACCAGGAGTTCCTGGTATCAAATTTTGGTGCCATGCTGCCAATTTGCAGTGCAGAGCACAGTTGCACATGCACCATGTGCAGTTTGCAGCACCTCAAATAGGTTTGAGGCATCATAGGTATGCACACTCATCTGGACCTACCCTAAGTGCTGATCTATACAGTTTTTTGATCAACACATCAAGAGTCATGTTGTAGGTGGTACAGATTGATTTGTTTCCATCCATGTGGATCTAGATTCATGGTCACATAAAATCCCAAAGTGAGTAATAGCTTATTTGACCCATGGGTGGAATTTTGCTTTCCTTTGTGGGTGTAAAAAGCATTTTTTTTATGTGTGGAAGTGCTGTTTTAGGCAGCTATATACAGGTAGCAATGCTGTGAAGGCTGATATCCTGCAGCATGGGTATGCTGGTATGGTGCAGCAGGCATGATGTGCATTATGAAGACGGCTATACAGTCCAGTACATGGCCTGTATAGCAGAAGCCCAGGCAGCGTGTGATATGTGGTCCCCTAGATCTGGGCAGCTACTCAGAAATTAGGCAGCCCCAATATAGGCAATTTGATCATGGAGAACTCTGAAAAGCCTGAAATAAATATTCAGCTCTCTTACAAGAGCATTAGAATTCAGCTACATCTGCCCGGACATGAGGATTCCTACACCTGGAATTACAATAATCAGATCTCAAATGTGTGTGTGTGGGGGGTGGGAATAGTGGGGCATAAGGAGAAAGTGAATTACCTGCTTTCCCCCCACCCCTTCTCTCCCCTTCCCTCCCCTCTCCTCCACTCCCCTGCTGAAGCCTGGAACCTGTCAAGGCACTTTCCCCCCTCCCCCTGGTTGCTCTTGAGCACTTAAGAGAGCATGTCCCATTCAATGGGATCATAAATTTGTGTAATTCATATGTTCCTGCCATTTCTGTTAGGACCATGCTGAACTCCATGGAAAATTCAAGTTTAAGCACAGGTACCCTGAGCACTTGTGCATAAACAACTCCCCCTCCCTGTCAAGGGAACTCATGGAAAGGCATCAAGAGCATTTATTGACCTCAGCAGGCAAAAGGCAAAACATCAGTTTTTTTCACACCACACCCCTTGATCAGGTACAGGAGCTACCATGCTGCTATGTCTAAGAACCATTGCAGAAACAAGAAAAAATCCCCCTTGCCAAAAAAATCAAGACCTCCTTCCCTCCCTCCCAGTCCAGGAAAAGGACACATGTGATGGAAAGGTTCCTGTGTGAGAACTGACAGCTAGAAAATGATATTCATAAATTTGCTTTTAGGAATTGGCTTGCAGGTAGAGTAGTTACTGCATTAGAACAATGATCCAGGAGAATGGCAAGAGTTAATTGGTTTCTAAAAGTCTGTTTGTGACAAAGTTTCATGTTCTCAGCCTTCCTGTGGGAAGCTAGCAGAAAAAACAGGCTGGGGAAACTGAAAACGTACCACAGTATTCAATAACAAAGATAAGAGAATCTGCAGCATTGGCATTAGGTCACAGTGACCGGCTGCAAATGTGGTATTTCTGGTTTTGGTGGAACAAGAAAATTAGGAGGCAAGATATGTCCAAATTAAGACACCAGTGAATGACCAAATTATGATGAATGAATGTAATATATTTGAGCAGAAAAGGGATATGCTGACAGAAAAGAACATGAACAGTATAATGACCACAGGCAACCCAATCAACAGTACCAGGAAATGAAGAGTCATCAGGAGGAAAAGAATACAAAAGGAGGAATTTTCAGAGCAGCAGGGTGATCTGGAGGCTGACATGGGCAGAGGGGACACCACTGGCCCATCCCACTCACCCTACAGACAGGGTTTGGCATTGGCCCTCAACCTCAAAGACTGCTGATGTCTGACAGTCAAACAAAGAAGCACAAGGTTGCGCTCATGTATCAGCTAGACACACTGTTCTCCTTGTGACCCGGCTGGGGCTGGAATTGGTATTGAATTCTGTAATCATCTTGCTTGCTTTACTGCCACCTGCTGTTTGGAAGAAACACCCTGTGGTGCAGCACAGCTGAGAGTCACAGTGCCAAGAAAAGGCATCCATGCACACAAGTCTGGACTGCTGGCTCTAGCCCCATAGATGCAGGCCCCCAAATGGGTCCAGGACAGTCAGAATGGGAAGTGGAGTGCAACACACCAGCCAAGTGCAGTGTACCAGCCTGTTGGGGCAGGTGGTCACTGGGGCGGTTTCTGACAGCAGAGCTGGGTGACCCCAGCTTGTTCATGCCCTTGCTGGGATGCACTGGGGGAGCTCTTCTGCTCCCCATGGACCTTTCCTGGCATGGGTCCTGCTGCAGGTGAATGGGGCAGCCTTGGAGGGAGGGGGAGGCTGAGTCCCAGATGTCACTGAGGGCTGCAGGTCCACGGTTCTTGAATCCTTGAAGGAGGAGACATGGCCTTCCTATGGGAGTGATCTGGGACAGAAGTTCCTAAACTGGTTTGACCTAAATTAGTTAAATGTGAAACTACATCCCACCAGGTTTATCTTAAAACAGTTTTGGTCAATTTGAAAGTGGTTTATGTGTAGTGAACTTCTGTTCTGTTACAGGTTTAAACCAGTTTCCGATCACTTCAACCAGTTTTTGTAACTTCTGTTCCTAGCCCAGAATCTCATGAACACTTGCTAAGGAGCTGCAGAAAGGGGGAAGAGGGAAGCGTGGGGTAAAGACTTACTCCTGCTGTACCAGTAACCTCCCTTCTGTAGATTGGTGCTGATGGGGTTTTCTGTTACTTGATTTTTGTAGTTATTAAGAGGGAAGATGTAGTGATAAAAGTTATAATGTGTAGAGAGTTGGAAATTGGGAGATGGTCCCTCAGTTAAGGAGCAGCCAGCTAGTTACTTGCGCTGAATGACTGCAGAGACTCGTCTCTTGCTCCACAATAAAGGTGTTGTTAGAACCTTTGGCGTTAAAATTAGAACCTGCCCCAAGCAGTCAGATGTTAAGACTGAATGCTGTCTCTGACCTGTACAACTGTTACTTGCCACTAGACAGCTGGTGAGCAGAGGCATGACTAGGACTTTGGATACCTGGCCTCCATCCCTGCTCTGAGTGAGTGTGGGGTGGGAGAGTGGGCTGCGGGGGCACAAGCATGAAGCTGGGAGGTGGACAGGCATGCAGGGATAGGGGCTGAGGCACTTCCTCTGAAGGCCTCCTTGGTCTCCTTTTATTCGAAAAGAAAACATTTTTATTTCAAGTGAAATGTGTGTGTGTGTGTGTGTGTACATTTTCATCTGAAGGGAAAAAGCCAAAGAATAAAATAAAAGAAGTAAATAAATAAATACATATGTAAACATCTTGAATATCACATGCATAATTAATGTGGAATTTGGTCAGGCAGTGGTGTTGGCGAACTGTTGGCAGGGATCATGCTGGCACAGGTGGCCAGCAGTGGTGGGGAAAGGTGGGTTTTGTGATCCCTATCTTTGCCCCTGAGCCCCTGTGGCCCCATCTCAGGTTGGGGGCTTCAGGGTGACCCTTGCTTTCCCCCTGTCTCAGGCAGATGCAGGTGCAGGACAGAACAGCTGTGCTCAGGTCTCTGGTGTTCTCTGAGGATGGTGGGCACAGGGGAGGGAATGGCTGGGAGAGAAGACCTGATGTGCTGGTGGCTGGCTGGCTCAGACAAACAGAGGCAGGGGGGTGGGGGAGCTGCTGGGGGGTCTCTGGCTCTCATCGTGTTTAGTTGATGTAAGTGATGTAGGATGGCTGACAAGAAAGGAGAAGGGGCTCATACCATAGGGTACAAGTTGTTGGAAGTATTGACATATCTGGGATAACATAGGCCTATTGCTACTTTGAATTCTCTCTCTCAAAAGTGCATTAAAGTTTTTAAAAAAAATTGCAGTGACCTAAATTGAGGACTGTTGATTCTATGGAAACATAAGAGGCAATTGATATGGAAAAGGACCATGTTTGGGTCATGACTCTTAAACACACAGAGATCAGAATTATGAAGTGTGTTCCTTCTTTACAGGCTCTTACTGAACAAAAATTAATGAGTTTAGAAAGATGAGTGTTTATGCAGCATGGAAAAGGACACATCATCCCTCATCCATGGATGTATGTCTTCATACATTTTAATGATCTCCTCTGAGTTTGATTTAAAACACAGGACTCTTGAGATGTTTCAAAGATTCTGTCCCCAGGGTCATGTTTCATAATACAAAGCCTGGCTGTGCAAGCATAATGTTTTTGAACTGAGGATGGAAAGATGTTTTCAACCCACACATAAGTTATATCATTGCTTTCAGAAGCCATGAGATGAAAATCTTTCTTCACCTCTCACATTTAAATATAGCATCATCTACATCTTCTCTAAGGTTTTCTTTGCCGGTTTTCAGTGCCTTGGTTTCCTCCACTCTAGATCACTGTTATGCTGAGGAAAACCCAGAAGCTTTAGTTATTAAGGAATCCAGTTGTCTTTTTAGAGTGGAGAAAATCATGGGGACCACATTATGCCCATTCTTCAAAGACAGCACTCTTTTCCAATCTGCTTCCTGATGCAATTCAAAGTGTTGATTTTTATCTAGAAATGTCCATATTCCTTGGATAGCAAGGAAACAGCCTTTGTTCATATGCACCAGCACAAGAGCAAAAGACCTCTTGCTATTAATCTCTCTTTTGCACAGCCTAAAGAAGACTCTCAGGGAGCATCTACTCTTCTGTCATTTCCATGCCTGAATGGTCCAGTGAAGCCTATATCTCTCTCTCAGCTACATTGTCCCTATTAACATAGACTTATAGTATCTCAGATCTTGGGACTCCCATATCATGGGCTATGGCCCCAGCCTTCCTCTCCAAATTAGCATGAATGTCCTAGACCACTTTACAATTTGCATCTTTACTTTATATTTTTGCCTGGATAGGAAGGAAATAGCTCTTTCCATTTGAGTGGGGCGAGTTTGTTTATGGTCTTATTTATTCTGATCAGCATGGGTGTTACTGAAAAAATGAGAGAGAGAAAAAGGCAAAATGTGCCACAAGTGGTATGTAAATGTAGTGGCTTGAAAAAAGGAGAAAAAATAATCTAGAAAGTGTATTTTAATTAATTAGAATTAAATTAATTTAATTAGAATTTCAGAGTATTTGATGGGGGAATTAAATTAATTCGAATTTTAGCGTATTTGATGGGGGAGCATGAATTTGCTTATTTTTGCTTGTTCTGAAATAAATGAAAAACCTTTCACTTGGAAGTGGTCAATCACAATACTTGTTTGGGGTTTGTTTTTTGGCGCTTTTTTTAGTTTTGAGGATAAGCTAAACCAAACAAAAGCACTGATGTTTGAAATAAAAATATCCACACTGGGAAACAAACCAATAAAATGATGACTCTACAATTTCTTTATCTTGGCTCTCCCTCCAAACAGTGCCTTAGCTAGTAAATCAGCATTCCTTTGTATAGCTGTCATTCACCCAGCATGTGTCTAAGTGCTGAATAAAGGCAGCAATAATTTAAATTATCTCTACTGAAGCTTCAGTGAACTTGTGCTTTTGGAGATGCATGAGGAGGGGAAGCAATATGACATGTATCAATGGTAAATTTCTCATTTGTCTTTTACGTGTTCTTTTTTTCTAGATGGAAGCAAATCTCCTGTTACAAGGTTCTTGCCTTTGACTTTAAGAAACCCAGAAGTACGTTCACTGTTTGTAATTAAGAGGCGCATACTCCAGACAGACTCAGTTTTACTCTTGGTTAAGTAAAGATTTCTAAGAGGAAGGGACAGATATTGTTTCGTTTTTCAGTCAATCTGAATAAAGCAGTCTGAAAATAGGTGTTTTCAAGTACCACCACAATGTATGGCAGGGGTATCAAATTCATGCAGCCTCATGGGCCAGATGTGGGTCACTGGGCTGATATGTGGGCCAGACCAGGACTGACCTCATGTGCAGTACCCGTGGTGCCATTTCCAACCTGCATACTACATATGGCCCTCAACCATATGAGTAGTCCTCTGAACCATCTCAAGGTTATCCACATCCCTCTTGAAGTGCGGCGCCCAAAACTGGATGCAGGACTCCATCTGCGGCCTTACCAATGCTGTATAGAGGGGAATTATCACTTCCCTAGACCTACTCATGATGCTCCTGCTGATGCAGGAAAGAGGGCAGTTAGCTTTGCTTGTTCACTCATCACACTGACAACTCATTTTCATTTTGCGTTAACCAGGGCTCTGAGATCTCTTTGCACTGTTGTGGTACTCAGAATGGTACCCCACAGTCTATAGGTGTGTTGGAGATTCTTTCTCCCAAGGTGCAACACCTTGCATTTATCCTTGTTAAACTGCATCCTATTCTGATCTGCCCACTTCCCCAGTCTTTCCAAATCTGCCTGAATTTGGTTCCTGCCCTCCAGTGTGTTTACTATGCCCCATTGTTTAGTCTCATCTGTGAATCTGGATGAGGTGCTTTCAACAGCTTCATCCAAATCGCTGATGAAGATATTGAACAGTACTTGTCCAAGGACATGTTACCTGCTCTTGGGTGATTTCACCAGGTGGTCATTGTTTATTACCTGTTACTTGGATCCTAAATGTATATGCCTTAAAGTTAATATTTATTCTCTTGTGCCTGTTCCTTTTTCCCTAGGATGTTGGCTTGAGACCCTAATTCCCAGCATCCCCTATATAAAAGTGGGAACTTCCTTTGACAGCTCCCTGTGCCTGGTTCTGGGGTTGTGGGTTTGGTATATTAGGTGCACCCTGAGTGACCATTCCCAACTCCCAAGTACCACAGTCTCCTGTTTGGGAGCATCTCTAAATTATAACTTCTTTCACTACATGGACTTAGCCTCCTAAGCAGAACAAGGATATGGGTGTTTCCTTTCCCTCCCTCCCCCCCTCCATAGTTCAATGGCTAGTGCACTCATGTGGAAAGCTGGAGCCCACGGGTTTTGGCCCCTTCATGCAGGTATGGCTTGAACCAGGGTCTTTTTCACTTCCTATCACAGCACTCTACACCAACAACAGGCCAGGGGTTACTCATTAGGGGTGTGCGAAGTTTCGGTATGTGATTCAATTTGGCAGAGATCCAGCCTGATTCAGTGGCTGAACCTCTGAATCCAAATTGAATCAGGAGACCCTTTAATTTCTCTGAATTGAATCAGAACCATTCGAATTGATTTGGAGAGATTCGGAGAGATTCGGTGATTCAGACATAGACACAGATTTAAATGTTTTTTCTACATATCTCAAGATACCAGGCGACTTATGAATGCTGCGATGCTGAGGTGGATGGAAAGTCCTACAAGAGTGCAGGGGGCTCTCCAGTGTGCTTGGCAGCAGACCCGGAAGTGGACCAGGCACTTACAGGTCCCCAGCGAGCGTGCTGGGCCACCCCCCCATGCCCTCCTAGCTTGGTGACTAGTGCCTCCTGGGTCTGGGGGGGGCACTTAGGGTCCCCCTGTGGCTGATCGCCGAGCTGGGGGGACACAGGCCCCCCCCCCACACGCTTCCTGGTGGACACAGAAGTGGACTAGAACTGCTTCAGATCCACTTCCAGGTTTGCCACCAAGCTTGCGGGGGGTGGGGTAGGGAGGAGGGGGCTGCGCTCCTGTGCGACACTCCATCTGCCCCAGCATCGCAGCATTCACAAACCGTGCCTGATACCTCGAGGTATGTAGAAAAAACATGTAAAGCTGTGTCTATGTCTGAATCACTGATTCTCCAAATCATCATCAAGTCTTCAGATTCAGCTGAATCGAATTGGGGACAGTGATCCAAATCAACAAATCGAATCACTGTCCCTGATTCAGGCCAAATCTGAATCCATATCGAATACGGCCTGCTTTGTACACCCCTATTGCTCAAGATGTTCTCCAGCATTTCTTTTGAAGGTGAGCTGCTAACATCAGCCTTGGAAAAAGAAGAATGGAAAGCAGTGTAATTCAGGAAGGGTGGGTGAAGAGGGGGCTGGAAGCTTTGGGCCCACTTAGAGTATGGCCCTTGGCTAGAATCCCGGAACATTATCCCTTTCATGCTAACAAATAACTAACTGAGCCACATGCTCTCTGTCTAGGTTGCTTCCTTTACTTCAGACCTCATTTACCTCCCACAGACCTTCTTTTCATGGTTGCCTGGGGAGCTACCTTCATAAGCAACAATGGAAGGAGTGGATAATGGCTGACCTGTAGTGTGGTCACTAGCATAGTATGTTTGGGAGTCAGGGAGACCCAGGTTCAAAATTGCTAGGTGAGGGGACCTAGAACCCAAGCCCTTCAGATTCACAAGTGGGTGTTCTAGCTTTGGAATGATTTGGGGGAACAGACAAGAAGTTTCTGTCACATTTTGGTGCTACCAGTCTGTGCACATATGTGGTTATCCAGGCATGCAGGTCTACTTATTCAGCAATAAAAAGTTACTAGACAGGCAGGTACCAAAATTGCCCTGAAGAGTTTAATAAAAAGGCCACTTGGATGACTGGGGGAAAAAAAACAAACAAAACCAGAATGCCACCGTGTATGATTTTTGCAGGAATGGCACAGAAGAAAGTTGTAGTAGTGTAAAGAAGTAGTAACCAAGGTTTCTGAGGTCAGTGTCTTAACCACAGCCATGCTCTGTTGTTAAAGAAAGGAAAATATGGAGCATATCCATAGTCTTAATGATCAGAATGTACATGGATGCCGTTATAACTGGGCATATTATTATAACAATAAGATAGTGTAAAGGGACCATCTAGACTGTTGTTCCTTTGGGGCTCCCAGGTGGTTTATCTATATCCAAGAAGCAGGGGAGGAACAACAATAAGTCTACAAATTAAAGCCCCCAAACCTTTAGTAAACACTACACAATAGGGCCTTGGGCATCATCTGTGTGATATTGATGGAGTGAGCTCTTTTCTATGCCAGGTAAGATTTACATTCTGGGACCAAAAAGAATTTGGGTGAAGTGCTTTAGTGACACTTCCCATCGTTTTGCAAGCAAAACAGGGAAACAACAGTGAACAGAAAATGAAACTAGATGTGCAGTGTGTCAGATAATTTAAATTTGATTTGCAAACATTAATTCACTGTCAATAATATTTACACTATGAATAGCATCTAATGAATGAAGACTTCTGCTTACAAAATCCTATGCTATACAGCTCTGATTTAGTCTATAAGGTGAAAATCTACCTTGCCTCCTACAAATACATGAACACTTGCATTTATAATAAGTCTTTGCATTATCGCAGTCAATGTAGTAGCAAGATGACCATGGACTGCTCAGAGACTTCCCAACTATTGGCCAGTAGACATGAAAAAATTCTTTCTACTCCACATTGTAAAGGTCAGACTGAGCTGCTGAACATCCTTAAGAGAACCAAATGAGCAAATGCTAAAGTTCATTAACCTTTGTCCTACTAAACATTTTAATCATGCCAATGAAAACTTGATCGAGTAGAAAGTTACAGTAGTGTATGTTTTCCTGGGTCACCACAATGTATTGTGTGGTGTTAGGCTGAAACCTGACTGTCTTCACCAACCCAGATTGTGTTTTTGCATATGAGACAAATTGATATTCTAAAAATGCACAAAGGGATGTTCTACAAGGCTCTCATTCAAGACACCTTTATCTCATATTTTATATGGCAAAAATGTTTTAAGGAAGTACTCATTTTTCCCTAGATTGTGCAAATGTTCAAGAGTATGACCATTTTTCATTCATGGAGAAATCATAACAAAGTTCAAGAGAGCATAGGTACCCAACCCACATCAATGGAAATAAAGCAACTTTCTGTACTTCTGTTTGCATCACTAGAAGCTTAAATACATTAAAATTTTTTCCCCCAGATGCTTTGTTACTTTTTAAACCAGTAAATCTTTGATTTAACAGGGCTGTCTGATAACTACATACAGCACCAGTCACAAGCTCCTGAAGGGAATTACCATAGGTGCTAAAATGAAATGAATCTTCTAGGTAAGCATGGATAAAACACAAAGAATTAGGTTCCAGCCTGAGCTTGCCTCATCCCAGCCTTGAATCAGCAAAATCAAAGAGCATCTAAGAGGGTACACCTAGAGGAACTGTGAAGGGGGCAGAGGTGCTGTAAGTCCTCTAATTATGACAATAGACAGATGTCCAGAAAAAGGCTGAAGCTCCATGGAAAGAATCGTTATAGATATGGTTCCAAGAGTTCAACAGGATTAGAAGAGCAACTCTGCATTGTTTTGGCATCAATTACACTTGATGTAACTCAGAAAGATTTCCTTTACAACCCCAAGGGCTATAGAATTATTATTTCTCTTAAATGAAAGTTTATACACTGTAGAAATATTGGATTTGACTGGAACAAGTCTCATGGAAGAGGTGTGAGATGCATTTGTCTTGGGGGTAGTCCTTTGGTCAACAGATTGATTCAACAATATTTTTTGAAAAATGTCTCACACCTGAAACACATTCAAATGGTTAAACAACTGTTTGTGAATGCCATACATGTGATGTTCTAGAAATGTGATAAAGCAGTTTTCTCTGGGCCAACTCTCTGGATATAAAGTTTCAGGTGGATTGATTCAGTTTTGATGAATATGAGCAAGTAAGAAAGTGAAAGATTTTTTTTCTTTCCAAAATTATTGTCATATTTTTACCCAAGCTTCACATTTACCTTGAGCTACCTCATTTCCTTGACATTGTCTGTTATACATAATATATATAACTTAATGGTTATTTCTGTAATTTAGAATTCCATCTTCATACTAATTGAAAAAGTGCTAGAAGGATGGGAACAGAAAACAGAACCCAAGTGACTGAGTTCATTCTACTGGGATTTACCAATTCCCCT